GGAAAATATGCATGTGTTTGAGTGTCTGTGTGTTGGGGATGGGGAGGGGGAGGGGGAGGACAAGGAGGTAGATGTTTAAAGCTAGGAAGGGTGAGGGGCACCTGAGAGGGTTGGGATCTTGGCTCATTCTAGACAAGGTTTGTATGGTGAAGAATTGAAGGGTGTTACTCAGCCCCTACTTATGGTGGATTATGGGGTATGGAGACAGGGCATGGCATTGATAGGATGAACTGGCTGTATGGTAAATTAGGACATTGCCCCAAGAAGCTCCAGAACACTTACCAACCCAGAGCCTGACATCTGGGTGTGTGATAGCTCAAACCAGCCAATCATCATCCAAAAGCCGCCCTTCCTGATGATGACACTTACCATTGGCAGAAAGCGATCCATCAACCAGCTAACAACTGGGTCCCTACTTACTGCTGGATAAACAGAGGTGTGTGGAATAAGGAAACTTGCCTAAGGTTTTGCCTCTCCTGGGAATCGAACCCGGGTCCTCTCGCTTGCGAGGCGAGTGCGCTAACCACAAGGCTACGTGACTCTGTGCACTAACCTGTAAAAGCGAAAACTCATTTAAACTATGTTACATGGGCTGAAACTGGTGCTGTTTTGTAATGATTTCAATGTGATGATTATCAGGTTGATTGCGATGCTATGACACTGAGGTCTGTTGCCTTATATCTTGATCCCTGCATGGCTCAGTGGTAGCCACTGAGTCACAAGGTTATGGGTTCAAATCCCACTTTGGGATTTTGAACTCACAGTTTAGGCTGATGCCCTCCGGGGCGCTAACCCGTGTGAAGGGGTTATATCAATGCAACTTGTTGTTGTTATTGATGAGTCATTGTAGCGCTGGGAGTGTGTTGCATTGTAGGAGGTGCCATCCTTTGGATGAGATGTTCAACCAAGGTGTTGAGGTCTGCCTGTTCAGGTGGATGTTAAAGATCCCATGGCACTATTCAAAAAGAGAAGCGAGTTTCTCTCTCCCGGTGTACTGGCCAACAATCTCCCAAATAAAATTGGTCACTCACTCCACTCCATAGCTCTTTGTGGGACACTGCTGTGTGCAAATTGGCTGCTGCATTTGCCTACACACTTTATAATATATAAAGTCATCACACTTTACAATATATTCTGTGAAGCGCTTTGAGATATCTCAACAACATGATAAGGAATGAGATCAAATGTAAGGATTCTTACATTTGACAAATGTAATAATCCCTCCAAAACCAAAAACAATAATAAATTGGTCATATTCGATCTACGACTATTTGTGGGACATTGCTGTGCGCAATTGGCTGCCGCGTTCGCCCACAAATATACAGTCAATTCACTTTACAGTGTGTTCTGTGAAGCGCCTTTGGGACGTCCTCCCGACGTGAAAAGCGCTATATCAAATGCAAGGATTATTATTATTATATTATCTCCAGTGTTTGGGCTTCTCCTGAACCTCCAGTGATTTGCTTCCTGTGTCTCTGATGGGGGGTAAGGTAGCCGTGCTGGAACCAAATCCCACCCGTTTTGGTCAGTGCATTGAATAATAGGCTTACAACCCGAAAGGTAGCCCCATTCCCCCACCCACCCCTCCACGCAACTTGCCTTTCGTTTTATTCCGAGAAGTGATTTGAATTCAAGCAAATTCATTTGGATGAGGAGCGGGTCCAGGCTTGTCTGGAGCTCCCTCCCTCCCCCCTCCCTCTCTCTATTCAGGGGATATTACCCGTGACCGCCCGCACTTTCCATTCAGCGTGCTGAGGGCCAATTGGTTGTAGCTTATCGGGCTGATCAGGAATCAGAGGCTGGGCCTGCTCAGAAAAATGGCTTGTTGCATTCTTGACTACTTGTGTGGGAAGAATGAAGGCCCAACAATGCTCTTAATTACATCCTTCACCACCTCGTGTTTGCGGAGAGGAAGTTTGCTGTCAGTCAAACCCTCCTTTGTGACCCCAGTGATTGGAGGCAGAGCGGAGCCTATCTGATCGACTGGCAGAGGGAGTCCTGCTATTCCTAGGCCTGACTCTGCCTCTCCCCACGTCATGCCATGTTTACACTGACGGATAGTTCAGAAATGAGTCAAACACACAATGTGCGCCAGCGCTGAGATCTCGATGTACAGCAACTGTAGCAACAAGTGGTGGAATAACAATCATTCCCGTTCAATGCAGCGTCTGTGGCATCTGAACGCCATGAAGCGATTTGCAGCTGATCATTCGCAGGTGTAGCGACTGCGTTTTGCAAGAAAACGGGGAAGCCTCATTTTTTAATAACAGTAAAGCAAAGCAGGTTAATTGTGTTACGGGGAGAGGGGAGAGTAAGTAGTAAAAAGTAAATAGCCAAATTTAGAACATGTACACTAAATATTTTATAATAAAATTAATATGGTCACTCAATCCACGACTGTTTGGGACGCTGCTGTGCACAATTGGCACCGCTGTCGCCCACAAAATACGCAGTCACTACGTTTTACGGTATATTCTATGAAGCGCTTTGAGACATCTCAAAGATGTGATAAGGCACTATATCAAATGCAAAGATTATTATTATAAAGTAACAATCCTTGCATTCGACACAGCGCCTTTCACAGCGGGAGGATGTCTTGAAGCGCTTCGCAGGATTTTATGGAGTTCTGTAATATAGTGATTAGAGCACAAACATCACAAGCGTAAGGACCCGGGTTTGGTTACCGGGCAGGGAAAAACTTTAGGCAAGTTTCATCACCTCACACACAATATAATAATAATAATAATAACCCTTGCATTTGATATAGCGCTCTTCACGTCTTCTAGACGTCTCAAAGCGCTTCACAGAATATACTGTAAAGTGAATTGACTGTATATTTGTGGACAAAACGCGGCAGCCAATTGCACACAGCAGTGTCCCACAAACAGTCGTGGATTGAAAATGACCAATTTATTATTGTTTTTGGTTTTGGAGGGATTATTATTAGGCTCTGTGTGGAGTAAGGAAACTTGCCCAAGGTTTCGCCCTCTGCCTGGAATTGAACTCAGGTGTCTCGCTTGCAAAGCGAGTGCTCTAACCACTGAGCTACAGGACTCCATAATACAATATAAGAATGTGCGTTCTCTTGATTTAACATCTGAGGCTCAGTAGGAAAGTAAGGACCATTCAGCAGGCTTTTAACTAATTCTGCATTTAATACTATTTTCAGTAAGTGTTTCTACCATATTTGCACGACACACAAGAGGAACAGACAAGACTTTAACAGGGTTACCAGGAAGGGTGGTTGAAGCCAGGATGCCATTTAAGGAACAACCTGGTCCTGTGATGAAGTTGTAGAATGGATGTTCTGGAACGATGGGATCAAATGGACTTCTTCAGCCAAACTAATCTTGTGACTATTTGTCCGAGACTTGGATTTAGAACCCAACTGGCTTGATTGTGGGACAGATTATTCAGGTTTGCATAACAATATATATATACATACACATGCACAATATTATGGACACAGAACGTACACACACACACATGCGCAAAACACACATACGGAACTTATACATACACACTGCATAGATGCACAGGACACATACGCACACGCAACGTGCAAACACACACCAAACCACAACATATAACACATAATATACATAAACACTCCACACCTCATATACACATAATAATAATCTTTGTATTTGATACAGCGCCTTTTCATGTGGTCGAGAGGTCTCAAAGCGCTTCACAGAATATACTGTAAAGTGGATTGACTGTTTATTTTGTGGACGAGACACGGCAGCCAATGTGCACAGCAGCGTCTCACAAACAGTTGTGGATTGAGTGACCAAATGATTTTTTTATACACACACACAAAATACATCACACGCACACATACATCATCCACACTGTTTATGGGACCCTCTTTGATCCTGTGTCTAAGGGGCTGTTGCTGGAGAGCTAGTCAGTAGATGTGGATGTAAACTCTGATGGGATTGCAGGAATTGACTCTCATCAACTTCACCTGCACCTGAGAGAGGGACATGCACATACGAAGTATTATCAACTGACCTGAGACAGAATTAGATTGTTTACAGTTCCATCGTGTCTGTGCTGGGGTTCGCTCCCCCACTGGAGCTCTCTACTCTAATCCCATTCCCTGCTCTCTCTCTCTTTCTCCCCATCGTGCCTGTGCTGGGGCTCGCTCCCCGCAATGGAGCTGTCTATTCCCTGTTCTTTCCTCACACATTTTAATATTGCCTATGAGTTGGAAGACTGGGGGTTGAAGCCCCACATTCAGAGTTTGAACTCACTGATATTTCAATGTAGTCCTGGAGACTGTTACATTGTCCGTAGGATGAGATGTTAAACCAAGGTCGCATCTGTAGGTTCAGGTGGACATTAAAGATCCTACGGCACTATTTGAACTGGCCAACAATTCCCCAGATAAAATTGATCATTCAATTCAAAGCTGTTAGTGGGTCATAACTGTCTGTGTTCGCGTCCAAAATACAGTCACTCCACTTAACAATGATTCCTGTGAGGCTCTTTGAGCCATCGTCCCAACATGAAACGTGCAGTATCAAAAGCAAGCAATATCATTTATAGTATTACAGTGTTATTGACTTAGTTTTAACTTCTGTTTGTGGTAAGTTATTCCACAGTCTCACAACCCTTTGTGCAAATATTTTTTCTCTAATCTATCCCATGTTATGTCCTCAACGTAAACTTTCTTTCCACTGGCTGACTCATCGTTTGAAATGCACACAGCAGTGTCCCACTAACAGCCATGACGTGATAAGTGACCAATTTTATTTGTGGGGATTGTTGGCCAGAATACTGAGAGAGAGAGAGAGAGAGAGAGAGAGAGAGAGAGAGAAAAACTCCCTTCTCTTTTTCAATAGCGTTGTGGGATCTTTAATGTCCACCTTGACAAGCACAGATGGGTTGGTGCAATGTGGTGCGATGGCAGTTTGTGAAATAACCGCCTCCCGCCCGCTCCCCCCAACTTACCTGTCATATCCCACAGCTCACACACTTGTATTGTTGCTGCCTCAGTGGGTGGTGTGACCTGGGGGGAGCGGGGGCTCGGTGGTGGGGTCACGAATCACAGGCTGGGTTTGGTTGGGCGACCAGGCCGGTGGGTCAGAGGTGCTGGTCTGGGAAGGCTCGGTGTTCCCAGCTCCCTGGGGCCGCTGGGTGGTCAGGTTGGGGTCCGCTGTGGGCATTGGGCACTTGACCTCCTCACAATTTTCTTGGATCAGGAGCGCAGGACATGGGTCCCCGGCATTGGCCGGCAGCTGAACAATGTACCTGGTTCTCTGCCGGGTGCTAATCCCGCATCTGTGACTGCACAGACCCCACGTGGACCAGTTGGACACTTCACAGTCCAGAGGAGTAGTGTTCAACCCTTTTCTCCAAGTCTCTGAAAGTCATAGGAAACTCAGTGTAGTGTTGGGTCACAACGCTGGAGTCCTAAAGTTTAGTGGTTAGAGCACTCACCTCACAACTCATCTCACAACAAGAGGACCCGGGTTTGATTCCAGGGCAGGTCAAAACCTTGGTCCAGTTTCCTTACTCCACACCTAGCTATTTACCCAACTAGGAACCTGGCTGTTAGGTGGATCGCCGTCCCTAAGTGTTCTACAGAGACAGAGTGGGAGCCAGGGCCAGGTAAGCCAAGGTGCAGTTAATCTACAGTAGAATCTTGTTGTAGCGCGCTTCATTATAGGAATGTAAGAACATAGGAAATACTAGAAGAAAAGAGATCAAAGTCCTGCTAGTTCGCTTCCACCTTCCTGGTGGTCACTTGCACATATGTCCCGAACTACCTATGTACCATAATGTTCCCACAATATTATTTCCTAAAAGAAAACTATCTAATCTGTGTTTGAAAGAATCAACATTTCCTGCTTCAACCGTCTCCCCAGGGAGCTTGATCCACAGGTTCACTATTCGCTCACTGAAATAGTTTTTGTGTAGATTCGTTCTCAATTTACATCCCTTCAATCACAGGCCGTGTCCTCTGGTTTTACTATTCTGGACAAGTTGAAACAGCCTGTCATAATCCATATTGTTTTGCCCCTTCAGAATCTTAAAGACAGCAAATTATGTCACCTCTCAATCTTCTCTTTTCCAGTGTGAACATATCCAATTTACCTAGTCGTTCCTCATAATTCAGTCCCTCCATTCCCTTAATCATTCAGGTTACCCTCCTACGTATTATTATAACGCCGGTTCACTTACAACGTAATTGGGGCATAACCCCTGACATTTATTTATTTACCCCCAAAAAAGAGCCCTTAGACTTGCTTTGAATCATGATGTACGTATTGAAGTGTCAGTGGCTTCAGTAGAGCACCTTGACCTGCCACGCTTGTGTCATGTGAACGGTCACGGGATGGGTGATGTCATGGTGCTGAAACGCTAACCAGCTTCCATGCCCAGTTATAAGGTTGCTTGGGATCAAATGAACCCCCAACCCTGACTGCGGCGTTCTTACCTGGCTATACTGAATAGTACTAAAAACTGATAAATCCCCTGGACCTGATGGCCTGCATCCTAGGGTTTTAAAAGAAGTGGCTGCAGAGATAGTGGATGCTCTCCTGGATTCTGGAACAATTCCCGTTGATTGGAAGGTTGCAAACGTAACACTGCTATTTAAGAATAGAAAAAGTGGGGTACTATAGACCAGTTAGCCTGACATCGGTGGTAGGGAAAATTCTAGAGTCTATAATTAGGGACGTCATCTTGGGCACTTAGAAAGTCATAATATGATTAGGCAGAGTCAACACGGTTTTATGAAAGGGAAATGGTGTTTAAGAAATCTTTTAGAGATCTTGAAGATGTAACTAGCAGGTTAGATAGTGGGAACCAGTGGATACAGTGTACTTAGATTTTCAGAAGGCATTCGACATGGTGCCACATAAAAGGTTGTTACATAAGATTAGAGTAGGGATAAACGGGTCCTTCTCAGATTGTCAGGTTGTGACTAGTGGAGTGCCGCAAGGATCAGTACTTGGGCCTCAACTGTTTATAGTCTACATCGATCACTTAGATGGGAAAGTAGAGCTTAATGTATCTAAATTCGCGGACGATACAAAGATAGGTGGGAAAGTAAACGGTGAGGAGGACACAAAGGGACATAGACAGGTTAAGTGAGTGGACAGGGAGGTGACAGATGGAGTATAATGTGGGGAACTGTGAAGTTGTTTGCATAGGTAGAAAAAATAGAAAAGCAGATTATTTTCTAGAAGGAAGAGATTAGATAGTGTTAGTATTCAGAGGAATTTAGGGGTCCTTGTATACCAATCACAGAAAGTTAGTATGCCGGTACAGCAAGCAACTAGGAAGGCTAATAGCATGTTAGGGTTTATTGCAAAGGGGTTAGACCGCATCTGGAATACTGTATGCAGTTTTGGTCACCTTATCTAAGAAAGAATATACTCATCTTAGAGGGGGTGCAACGTAGGTTCACTCGGTTGGTTCCTGGGATGAGGCCTATATTCTCTAGAATATCGAAGAATTAGAGGTGATCTTATAGAAACCTATAAGATTCTTAAGGGTCTTGACAGGGTAGATAGTGTGGGACTGTTTCCCCTGGTTGGAGAATCTAAAACTAGGATCATAGTCTCAGGATTAAAGGTCAGCCCTTTAGAACTGAGTTGAGAAAACATTTCTTCACTCAGAGGGTAGTGAATTTATGGAAATCTCTACCCCAAAGGCTGTGGATGCTCAGTCATTGAACGTATTCAAGAATGAAGTTGATAGATTTCTAAAGGATAGAGCGATTAAGGGATATGGGGATAGGGTGGGTAAATGGAATTAGGTTAGAAGATCAGCCATGATCTTATCAAATGGCGGGGCAGCTCAAGGGGCCGAATGGCCTACTCCTGCTCCTATTTCTTATGTTCTTATGTTCTTACCCATCCCTCAATTACACATCACAACAAATTCTGCAGGCACAGCCTTTGAAAGCAGAGCTCTTGCAGTAAATTAGTGTTTACACACCACCGATTATAACAATACCATTTGGTTTTGTGTTGCTGTAACCTTCTGTTACACTCCAGTGTACTGAACTGACCAATGTTACTGTACAACAGCAATAGAAACTTGCATTATATAGTGCCCTTCATGTGGGGATGTATCCCATTCTCAAGTTGTTATTGGGCTCTGAAATCACACATCCTATGGCTATGCGGAGAAAGCGGGGGAGTGGGGTTGATCAGGGCTATGGGGAGAGAGCGGGGGAGTGGGGTTGATCAGGGCTATGGGGAGAGAGCCGGGGGAGTGGGGTTGATCAGGGCTATGGGGAGAGAGCGGGGGAGTGGGGTTGATCAGGGGTATGGGGAGAGAGTGGGGAGTGGGGTTGATCAGGGGTATGGGGAGAGAGTGGGGAGTGGGGTTGATTTGGAAGCTCTTTTCAAAGAGTCGGCACAGACACGATGGGCCAAATGGCCTCCTTCTGTGCTGTATAATTCTATGATTCTATGATCCTTTAATCCCATTTTCCCTTTTTTATCCTTAATATCCTTCCTTTCCGAGTCTGTGTCTGTCTTTCTTTTGCACATGCCTTTAATAATAATAATCCAAGTATTTGATACAGTGCCTTATCACTGCCTTGAGACGTCTCAAAGCGCTTCACAGAATATACTGTAAAATGGTTTGACTGTGTATTTTGTGGGTGAAACGTTGCAGCCAATTGCACACAGCAACATCCCACAGATGTGGATTGAGTGACCAAATTATTTATTTATTGAAGAGATTATTGCTCAGAAAGCAATCCGCCAATCGACTAACAACCGGATTTCTAGGTAAACAGAGGTGTGTGTCTGTGAGTAAGGAAACTTGCTTAAGGTTTTGCCCCGGGAACCAAACTCGGGTCCTCTCGCTTGCAAGGCGAGTGCTCTAACCACTGAGCTACAGGACTCACACTCTTACAGGGTAAAACCCAACTGCACCAACCTGCAGAATCTTTGTCCGCTTCTTTGCTGAGCACCTCATTCGAAACTCCACCCGGCTTTGCCATCTCCTCCCACGCTTTGCTTGTCCCATTGCGAGCGAGGGTCTGGTTGGCTGGCACGTACTCCATGGAGTTGTCTCCTGCCTTGTCCATCCCCTCACCCCGCTGGGCTGCGGAGAGCAAGCTGAGCTCCAGGTGGCCCATTCTGGGCAGTGATTCCAGGCGGGGGTAGAAGAAGGAATTGACTGGGTGGGACGGGTGCTTGGCTGTGATCTTAAACACTGGCTCCTGAGGGGAAGTGGGAAAATTTGGCGAGGAAAAGGTAAACCCACTGTCTGTGCCAGCGTCCCAAGGGAACAGGTCCAGGGAGATGGATTCCCTCCACTCATCGCCCTCACACAGATTTACACGGCTAGCACCCAGGAACCAATCCGGACTTGGGATAACACGCACCAGGAAAGACACCTGAACGAGAGAGAATCCTGGTTATTATCCCTTGATTTGGGACCACGGTTAGAGGCAGTGGGATAGGACCTCAGACTCAGAATCTGAGTTGTGCTATTAATCCCGGAAAGCGATCAACTAACAACCAGGATCCTACTTACTGCTAGGTAAACAGAAGCGTGTGGGGTAAGGAAACTGCCCGGGAATCAAACCCGGGTCCTCTCGCTTGCGAGGCGAGTGCTCTAACCACTGCACTGCAGTACTCCACTTTCCAGGATGGGAAGGCAGTCGGTTGGGAATGTCGTGAGGATGAGATCAAATGGGTAAAGGTCAATCTTCATCCCTAACCTCTCGAGTCTAAGCAATGTGAGTGGAGTTACACTGAGCCACCAATGGAAAGGCATTGCTCGTGACTCATGACAAAATCTGCAATGTGCGTAGAAAGATCACTGTCTGATAGTTGGACCGTGGGGTTCTGATTGACTACCCCCGACCGACATCTCTGTTTATGTCTGAATGTCGGAGGCGATGAGCAGATAAACACCAAACTCTCCCGTTTCTCACAGTAAAGTGGGATTTGAACAACAAGGACAACCAGTGTGAAAACCTGGACTGGATTATGTAAAAATGGTGTTGCAACAGCACCTTGTTATTGGAGCCGAGTCTGAAGCGCATTCCGATCCTGATCGCCTTCCACTGCGCGGGCACAGTTTCTTTACTGTAATTGACGGCTTTAATAGGTAATGTTATTTTGATCAGCCGTGTCTGACTGGCACAGAGACCCATCATTGCCTTTAAGAGTCCTCGGACCAGACTGAAATCCCCATGTGCGTACAGTTTCTGATATCGAAGATAAAGTCCCGTAACGTCGTGGTTAACCTGCTCGTCTCGCAAACAGAGAGGACCAGGTTTGATTTCTGGGCAGGGCAAAACCTTTCCTCTTTGACCATGCCCGTTTTCTATGACATTTTGTCTACAAAATACACGGTCACTACGCTGTACAGTAAAATCCTAAGCGCGGTCGACTTACCAATGGGTGTGAAGGTGTAGCCGTGAGCATGGTGCAGGTGTTACCCTCGCCCAGGGTGATGGGGTCAGCAGTGAACACAACCTCCGTGATATTCACTTCCTCCAGCAGCAAGTCAGGATTCCCATCTTCAGCAAAAAGCTTCACCCCCGCAGATGCCATGTCCCCTTCGGCCCAGAGAGTGAAGTCATCACTGTGAACACAACCTGCGCGTGTGTGTGTGTATGTTTTGGGGGGAGAATCACAATATGGAGTGAAATTTACAGAGATTATTAACACATTGAATATTTAAGCCTTACAGTTCTAGTTGAGACAATTTCTCAAACATCCCAAATTTCATAATCCAGGCTGACGCCCCACTGCAGGCTGGGGAGGAGTGCTGCATTGCTGGGGGTACGATTTTTCGGATGAGACATTAGACCGAGGTCCCGTCTGCCTATTCAGGTGGACTTTAAAGATCTTATGGCATTATTGAAAAAGAATAGGGAGTTTATCTCTCTCCTGGTGTCCTGGCCAACAATCCCACAAATGAATTTGGTCACTCACTTATCTTGGCTGTTTGTAGGTCACTGTTGTAGGCTACAATGTTCGCTTACAAAATACACAGTTACTGCACTTTACAATATATCCCGTGAAGCACTTTGACATTGGGAATGATGTGATAAATTGCTTTATCAAATGCAATGATTATTAGAAAAATAATAAACACTGCATTTAATACAGTGCCTTATCACATCAGAAGTCTCAAATGATATTTACAGGATTTATTAATAATAATACTCCTTGTATTTGGTGTAGCGCCTTATATTGTGGGAAGGACATCTCAAAGTGCTTCACAGGATTTACTGTGAAATTAAGTGACTGTATTTGTAGGCAGCACAATTGCACACAGCGATGTCCCACAATAGCCATGGATTGAGTGACCAATTTTATTTGGGTGGATTGTCAGCCAGGGGGCAGGGGGGAGAGAGAGAAACTCCCTTCTATTTTTGAATAGCACCGCGGGATCTTTAACATCCCCGTGAACAGGAGACAGGACCTCAGGTTAACGTCTCATTCAAAAGAAGGGTGAAGTGCAATGATTGATGATCAGAGTTTCTAAATCTGTTGTGAATTTCATCCCTGGTTTTCAAATCAGCAGCTACACAACAAAACCTCAGTTTCCTCCAAATAAAACCCACCATACAGTTCATGGCAGTTCACGGCACGTTGCTGTGTGCAGGTTTGGCTGCCACGATGGCCTACAAAATACAGAGTCACTTCAGAATAAATCCCATGAAATGCCTTGAGACGACCTCCCATCCCGTGAAAAGCGTGTATTTAAAACATAAAGATTAATATTATTATTATTATTATCTCACAAACCACCTAACAAGTGAATCAGTTTATCTGGAAGATTATTGGCCAGGAAAGAGGGGGAGGAACTTCCTTCTCTTTTCAAATGAGCCAGTGCTCCTTTCTCCTTGATAACCCTTTGTCTAAAAAACAATCTTCTCGTCTCTACTTTGTCCAGTAGAATTCCCTCAGCACTGGAACGCTAAATAGAAACATAGAATCTTAGAATATTACAGCACAGAAGGAGACCATTCTGCCTATCCTGCCTGTGCCGGCTTTTTGGAAGAGCTTCCCAATCAGTCCCACTCCCCCGCTCTCTCTCTCCCCATAGCCTTGCAAATGTTGCATTTTCAAGCACATATCCAATTCCCTTTTGAAAGCTATTATTGAATGTGCTTCCACCACCCTTTCAGGCAATGCATTCCACATTGCAACAACTCGCTGCATAAAAAAATATGTCTCCTCGTCTCCCCTCGGGTTCTTTTGCTAATTATCTTAAATCTGTGTTTTCTTGGTTACTGACCCACCTGCCAGTGGACTCCTTATTTACTCTATCAAAACACCTCATCATTTTGAACGTCTCGATTAAATCTCCCCGTAACGTTCTCTGCTGTAAGGAGAACAATCCCGGCTTCTCTAGACTCTCCATAACTGAAGGCAAATATGAAAGACTAGGTCCCACACATGTGGATTGCACTCACCGAAGAGCAGAGACCACTGAGCTGGGGGTCTGTGGGTTGGGTATTGCTTTGGGAAAGACAGGGTGTTCCATTCTGCTGAGAACTTGACAGAGTAATTTGCGGGTTCCTCTGCCCGGCAAAGAGTCCTGTTGCTGGCTTGAACCAGGGAGAACGAGGATGCGATGAGAAGCAGGAGAGATGTTGATGGGTACATGGTGGGTGAGCAGGTAAAAGAGGACGGGGTAGAGAGAGAGAGAGAGAAAGAGAGAGCTTGGAAATTAAAGGGACTAAGAGAGTTCGGACCTTGACAGTTTCCAAGCAAACTAGCCCTTCGACCTGGCGGGCTGGGACACAGGAGATCACCTCCTGTTAATGTTTACTGGAATTCACCTCTTGTGCAATAAACCCGTTTCTTTCTCTCTCTCTCTCTCTCTCCCTCTCTCTCTCTCCCTCTCTCTCGTGTGATCCTGTGTGGTAGATGCAATTAAATGTCTCTTTGAAATAATGATAATAATCCTTTGATGAAGCCTTCAAAATATACAGTCAATTCACTTTACTGTATATTCTGTGAAGCGCTTTGAGATGTCTCAAAGATGTGCCATATCAAATGCAAGGATTATTATTATAGTGTCTTATAACGTTGTTGAGATGTCTCAAATCGCTTCACACAATATATTGTAAAGTGGATTGAGTGAACATATATATTTTTTTGAAGCGATTATTATCCCCGGAAAGTGATCTGCCAACAGTTTCCTAACAAACGGTTTCCTACTTATTGCTACATAAACAGTGCTCCTAAGAGCTGGGCTCAAGATCTCGAAAGGTTCAGAGCAAAAAGGCCCTTCTAGCATTCATTCACTGCCAAACCTGTATCCTTTTTTTCTACTGTCTTGATGCGTCCTAATGATTTGTTCTGGGTTTATGTTTCCAATGCCATTTAAAATTGTTTACACCATATAAGATTCGCTCTGAGATGTCTTCTCTCCAGAAGAGCCTCAGACTGTGTCAGCATCCTAGCCTCCCTTCCCGGTCACCTGTTCAAGCCTTTATTGCTGGTTGGTGTCTGTCCTGATATTGCCCTTCACAACCTGAATGTGTGCTCTCTCGCCCGACTGCCTTGGGGGATTTGGAAAAATATTGTTCTTGTAAACCTTGCTACGAGATGTCTCTTTTCAAGGCTGAATGGCCTGAGCTTATCCAATTGTTTCCTGTCCCATTGCTATGTGCCTTGAGCCAGCCGCCTCTGTTTGGCAGTGAGCAGACTGGCTGTCACCCGTCCATTTGCAATGCAAACAGCAACTTGCATTTACACAGCGCCCTTCACGTATCAAAGCATTTAACAGTGGCGGAGCCTGATGCTGAGCTGGAGGGAGTGTGGGAGGAGGTGAATGTAATCACGGTAAAAGAGGGGAAGGAGGGGGCAAGGTGGAGGGAATGGGGCAGAGAGTTTCAGAGCTTCGGGGCGTAGTGGCTGAAAGCGGGGCTAACGATGGTGGAGCAGAGAGGACGAGGGATGATCAGGCCGAGCAAACTCTGGTGCCGGGGGTGGGTGGGGGGGGTAGAGGGAGGAGCTCAGCTTGGCAATTTCGTGCCAACTGATCGTTTTTTTGGACTGGGGGTAATTTCTGCTTTGTTTGCTGTGTTTCATATTGTATCCACGTTCAGTTGGATACGTGAGATAAGACTTTTCTGCACAATAAGTACCTTTATAACAATTACCGCAGCCTTTTGAAACAAGATCTGCCCTAACCCAACCTTGTACCTTACAAGTTGCAATATTAATATAAGTGCCTGACTGACTAACCTCGGGTTAATTGTTCAGGATTGGGCGAGGCAGCTATTTTAGATTGACTTCAGAATCACTTTCCTTCAAAGTCATACAATGTAACATCCCAGGTCTATCTCTATCAGTCACGGTTTTGCTTCCAAATAAAAGATTAGTTTTATATCAGACATCCTGATAATGTTCAGCTCTGCCTCCAACAAAGGACAGCACTGTCTTTTAAACCCTGCCTCGCGGATCTCTTCAGAAACATAACAAGTTGCAGATAACGAGGACATCAGAAGAGCATATAACTGGGGCGGAGGTGGGGGGAGGGGAGGGGGAGAAGCGGGAGGGAGGTAGCGAGGTGAGGGGGGACGAAGCTATAGCATTCGGCATATACTGGTGTGCGTGCTCGCTCATAAATATTAAATTGCTCTGTGATGCAATGGAACGCGAATCCAGCGCAATCTGCATCTGGTCAAAGCGTGAGGGGTTCCGGTTACGAGATGGAGTCGATATTGAATCCTGTGTCCAAATCCCTGTCTGTCCAGCGCCTTGGGATGTCCTCCCGATGTGAAATGCACTATTCAAATATAATTTTGTATTGTGTTGCATTGTGTGAATCAAGATTAAAGCGGAGAATTCCAGTATGGGGGAGTGCGTGTGTGTGTAGGACTGGGAGTTAGCACCGAACGCAGTCACGTTGTGAGAAAGAGCGAGTGGCGGAGGGAAGGGGGGAAAGGATTCAAGTAGAGTGAAGCTCCCAGCAACGCACAGGAGTGTTATAGCCTGAACTGAGAACTTAAAGTCTTGGCATGGGGCTCGTTCCCACAACCTTCAGACCCAGAGGCGAGATCCAGAGGACCTAACGCAACGAGTTGTGTCATGCTGGCACCGAGGTATCAATTTAGCCATGTACAGACAGAACACGTAAAAAGTGATATTCCCACAGCAAGAAGATTGCAGAAATATAATTCAAAAGCTCTTCAAAAGCTTTACAAAGCGGATCAAGAAGATTAGCTCCGCTACAAAGGGGAATTGGTGGCTCTTTAAATGCATCATGTAAGTGTGAAGAGGTTATAATTATTGCCTAGGTGGCAAGTCGACACAGGATTGTTACACTGGAGGCAGAGACGGATTCGGTCCTCACTCACTCATAGAATTATACAGCACAGAAAGAGGCCATTTGGCCCATCGTGTCTCTGACGACTCTTTTAAATCAACCCCACTCCCCCGCTCTCTCCTCATAGCCCTGATCAACCCCACTCCCTGCTCTCTCCCCATAGCCCTGATCAACCCACTCCCCCGCTCTCTCCCCATAGCCCTGATCAACGCCACTCCCCCGCTCTCTCCCCGTAGCCCTGATCAACCCCACTCCCCCCGCGCTCTCCCCATAGCCCTGCAAACTTGTCCTCCCCAAATAATTATCTATTTGTCTTGAATCAGTTATTATCGAATCGGCTTCCACAACTCTTTGAGGCACAATGAGATCATGTTTGTTGTTTTGCCAGCCGGGTGTCTGATACGTGCGAAAACCCATCACCGCTTGGGATGCATGGAAATCTCAGTTTGGTTTGTATACTCTTAAGCATAGCAGGGTCCCACAAACAACCAGTTCATCTGGAGGAGGATAATAATATTAATAATCCTTGCATCTGATATAATGCCTTATCACATCATCAAGACATCTCAAAGTGCTTCACAGGACATGCTGTAAAGTGAATTGACTGTGTATTTTGTGGGCAAAATGTAACAGCCAGTTTGCGCACAGCGATGTCCCACAAACAGCCATGGAATGAGTGACCAATTTTATTTGGGGGATTGTCAGCCCGGACACCGGGAGAGAGAAACCTTGCATTTGACATAGCACCTTATCGCATCTCTGAGATGTCTCAAAGTGACCAAATTATTATTATTAATTTAAAAAAATTAATTTAAAAGGAACTATGATCCTCAGAAAGCAATCCGCTAAACTACTAACAACTGGATTCCTACTTATTGCTAGGTAAACTGAGGGGTGTGGAGTAAGGAAACTTGACTAACATTTTGCCGTCCGGCAATTGAAACTGGGTCCTCTCACTTGCGAGGCGAGTGCTCTAACCAATAGGCTACAGGACTCCACTTGTGTATGTGTGTGTGCATGTGTGTGTTTGAGTGTGTACTTGTTACATGTGTATTTGTGTGCGTGTGTGTGTGTACGTGTGTGTGTATGAACTCAACTTTAAAACAAAGTTAAGTTCCGGCCGTGTATTCTTACAGAACAATTCAGTTCATTCTTGCAGAACACACAGAGTAGGTGTTCATCATCAACAATGGCAGATTAGATCACTGGCGGTGTTTAGGCTTGCACGTTCCTTCAAGCAACCTATGCAGAGATTACTTGTCACAGTAGTCATTAGAATTTAAAAAAGGAAAGTGAGGAGAGATTTTTTTTCTCTCTGCCTCTCTCCCATCCTCCCAAAAGCAGAAAATTACACATTATCTTTATTTTATACCTTTTTAGATGTGACATCGGGTGTTCTTTTTTTAAGAGAAAAATCGGAGTCAAAGTGCTCCAACAAATCTACTCAGGCTTGTTGCGCTTGCACATTCACATAGTCAGCAGAGATTTACAAAGACTGTACAGCACGGAAACAGGCCACTCGGCCCAATCAGTCTGTACTGGTGTTTATACTCCACACGAGTCTCCCCCCATTTCTCCCTCCCTTCCGAACCCTTCTGTTCCCCTATAATAATAATAATCCTTGCATTTGATATAGCGCTTTTCACGTCGGGAGGACATCCCAAAGCGCTTCACAGAACACACTGTAAAGTGAATTGACTGTATATTTGTGGGCGAACACGGCAGCCAATTGCGAACAGCAATGTCCCACAAACAGTCGTAGATTGAAAATGACCAATTTATTATTGTTTTTGGTTTTGGAGGGATTATTATTAGGCTCTGTGTGGAGTAAGGAAACTTGCCCAAGGTTTCGCCCTCTGCCTGGGATTGAACTCAGGTCTCTCACTTGCAAAGCGAGTGCTCTAACCACTGAGCTACAGGACTCCACTGTCACTCATCTGAGGGTCTTGCTTCCTCTTGAATGTATCTGTACTGTCTGATTCAGGCAGCAAGTTCCACAATCTCTCTACTCTCTGTGTGAAGTAGTTCCTCTTAAATTCCTTTTTAAAATGTCTCTAACTCTTCTCTTTTCTCTGCTCTGCTTGCTCTTTCTCTCTATCTTTTTATTCTCTCTTTCTTTCTCTCTCTTGATAGTCCAAGTGCTATTTAACTAACAGCCATCAGGTTGACCAAACCACTCTTTTGCTCAGTTCAGCTCGGAGTGAGTGCAGTTGTCCTCAGTGGCTGCCGTAGAGAGCTGCAGTCTGGCCGCCATGTCTGACACAGGCAGTTAGTTAGTTGCTTGAAGGCTTCTAGCTTGTTCTCGCAAACAAGGCCAGTATCGTAGCAACTGCTTGCTCCTCAATTATGTTTGCCTCAGTAAAAGGCTTATAAACCTTTCCCCTATCGCCCTGTGTGTAT